CCTTCTCCCTCTCCTCGTTACATAGTAATAGTAATAATAGCAATAATAATGGTGATAATAGTAATTGTAATAAAAAAAGTAATGATACTGCCTGAGGAGTCGACGTGGGCATCCTCTGTAATCAAAAATACTCGAATTTAAAATTGCTGTGACAATAAAGCATTGCAAAAGTTGATCTCAGTGACAGAAAAAAATATACTTCCAAATTAAATAAAGAACACTTTGTATGTTTCAGGGCCGGATTCATTGCTGCAAGGATACTCGCTGGAGAACTTTATTGAAGAAACGATGTCGAATTATTGGGGCAAACGTCTCTCACTGCTCATGCATTCCCCGGCGCGTGGTTCCGTCAAGGCAGTGTCGCTTAAGCGTTTGCTGCTCCGACACGAGCTTCTGCCGCCACTTAAGTACCTGTGCCGTGTGGTCATTCGTAACTGTATTGTTGACCGGAATCAACTCGCATCGCTGCCATTACCCAAAAAGATCATTGAGTATTTGGATGATCCACGGTATCTTGTTCCACCCTCTGTGCGGTTATGAGTTCTTCCCTTTCCCCAACGGACGGCTCGAAACGATATCAGCGCATATTCGTGCTTTTTCCACTCACTATTGCATTAGAATCTTTGTGATTTTTTGAAAAAGAAAACTTTTTTGCCAAAAAATTTCTTTCAAAATGTGAGCATTATCGGTAGGTACTGTTAATGAGTGCGATTATTATTGCTGCCAAATGTTGAGATGCACTGCTTGGGAGGCACAGGCACTTGCGAGTGAGTCAACTCTTTCTCTGTTGTTGTTTTAACTGACTTCACTTATCTTCTGCACTTCTTTTGCCGTTGCTTTTTGTATTGACAATCATAATTCAACGTTAGGTCGGTTTTTGGGTCGAAATGCGAGGGTGGTCTCTTGCGAGGAGTACTGTGAAGACCATTTTTTCTCACGAGTTTTTCTAGATAAGCTTACGCAGAGCAAAATACTGCCGATTTGAAGAAGGGGATTGCAATATATAAGGGATCAGTCTAAAATATTGTTTGCAGCGGAAGCTTGTTGTAAGGGAAGCAGACTGTGTTTCATCCCTTAGATGTAAGCGCAAACCGAACGCAACGTGCGAGTAAGGGGTGGGAATCATCAGCATAGCTTCTGACTGACCATATATGTGATGAGCATGTGTCAGATCGAATAAGACAATAGAGTAATGAGAAGACAACAAAGAAGGCGAAAAAAACGGTAGGAGAAAATAGAGAAAAGAAAAGATGGGTTTATTTATGAACAACTAGCGATGCCACCAGATTACTGATTTTGTCATCTTCAAAGAAAATCTCTTATATTGCAATCTCTCTCCTCTTATCTCTTTTTGTTTCATTTTTATCCATCGCGCCTCCGCCATTTGGGTTTTCAGGGTCAACCTGGTTGCTGCAGTCTGCTTAGTAATTGTTGTGAAAATTATAAAAAATACAAG